ACCATTGCAAAGAAAGCCGAGGGCTGAGTGGTGGGCTGAGCGCCCTCACTGATCACTTGCTTCCACACACCAGCCTCACAGAGCCCAAGATTCAAATTCTCACCTCAACAAAAAAGCAAACTTCTCCATATCATTGACCTTCACGGTCTATCACAGACAGTCAGAACAGTGACTGTAGAATCCATGAATGCTAGTGTGCTACTTTATCTACCGTTTTGGGTTAGTCTGTTCCTCCCCCATTCGTGTATTTCTCTTTCTGGATTTCATTTGCTAATTATCTAGCAGTTCTAAGAGAATTTCTTATGGCCTCTCTACATAACCATTGTCCACTCCTTCTTAGGTACAAAATGGTGCTCTGTGGGATGAAATAAATGAATCGTGGTGGGTTAGAGAAAAATGAATTTGCTGTTACACATCCTTCCCGTAAATTTTAAAATTTCTTCCAGATGATTGAGCTAAGATCCAATACCTTTTATTGCCTTCAATATTTCAGCCAAAATAAGACAGACTGCAAAAAAACCTAAAATGCTAGCGATATTTTTTTCTTTTTTTCTCAATGTTATACTGTCACTTAAACACTAGTTAGGAAGGTAAACATTTCAGCTTAATTGTTCTCACTGATGAGCCATTTCTTTTTCCCCTAACGTCCTTCAGAAATCAGTCATCAACCAGGACCCAATCATTTCTGCCACTAACTAACTTTTCATTTACTGCATTCATTAATATCTGTTGCATGTACACCACACACATTTAAAGTACCCACTTCAAGTACTGCCATTTATTCTCCTAGAAATGCATCATTACCTAAAGGAATAAACCTTTTAACCTGTATCAGCAATCAAAGAGCTCAAGTAAATGATGAAGTAAGTGAGTCCAAACTATGCTACACTCAGATCAAACTTCATGGACCCCTTTGCCCTTGCCTTATAAATTTACCTTTGGAAGCAATGGCCTATTTGCAAATTGTGTAAGAGACAAATTGTTCTAACCCCCTCTCCCTTTCACTCAGATTTGATTGGGCCAAGATGAAGAACACAAAATGCCTCTTTGTAAGTGAACAAAGGTACACACCCACCACAGTGTTGTCTATAATAGCAAAAACTTGGAACTGGCCTAAGAGTCCTTCAGTAGGGGATTGGGTAAATAAGGTATGATATATTCGTAGATTAAAATGCTATGCAGCCATTACAAAGGAGAAAAAGTATAAAGAGATGCAAGGGAATGATAAAGACCAAATTCAGTATAGAGATTACTTTTGGCCCAGAGGAGGGGTATGCAATTAGGGAGGATACATAGGCACACTTCAACTAACTGCGTAATATTTTATTTCTTAAGTTTCGTGGCAGGTACACAGGTGTTCTTAACATAATTTTTTGTGTCTTTCTGTGCATCGGAATTATTTACTACTTTGAAAATTTCTTTGAGCAATTGTCTAGGAAATTCCTACTGAAATAAAATAAAGTCATTGAGGATATTTCATTATGATGCTTAGAAATTGTTTCATGTGTCAGACGAGGATAACGTGATGTGAAATGAGCATAAATTTCAATGGATGAGATTTCATTTCAATCTTATTCGGAGGAAAGTTATTAGGGTGGACATCAAAGGCAGGCTAAGTGGCAAAAAACCAAACAAACCACGGATTATAAAACATATATCCTGAGTGGTTTAGCTGAGAAAGATCCAATGATCTTTTTTTTAAAATTAACTTTTATTGGAATATAGTTGATTTACAATGTTGTGTTAGTTTCAGGTGTACAGCAAAATGATTCAATTATACATATAATTGTAAAGCAATTATATTCCAATAAAGATGTTAAAAAAATTACACATATACATACATCCATTCTTTTTTTTAGATTCTTTTCCCATATAGGCCATTACAGAGTACTGAGTAGAGTTCCCTGTGCTATACAGTAGGTCCTTATTAGTTATCTATTTTATATATAGTAGTGTGTATATGTCAATCCCACTCTCCCAATTTATCCTTCCCCCCCCCCTTTCCCTGTTGGTAACCATAAGTTTGTTTTCTAATGAACCTATTTACAAAAAAGAAAGATCCAATGATCTTTAGAGTAACTTCAGCTCTAGAATTGTACAGTGCTATAAAATTAGTGCTGGTAGCCATTTTCACCAACCTTCTGATATCTTTGACCAAGAATCTTGTTGTCACCCTGATCAGGCCTAAGGTCAGTTATTAAATATATCTTGAGTACCTACCATACATCAGGCATTATGCCGGATTCCAAGAGGGCTACCAAAATGAATCAGGCATGGAATTGTCCTCAAAATCACCCAGAAACATGGAGAAGACAGACCCACAGCCAACTCACCTTAATGCAATTTAGTAAAAGCTCTATAGCAAACGTACGAACAAAGTACTTTGGGAGACTAGCTGAGGAAGCACTTCTGTGGGGACAGAGGTGAGTCAAGAAAGATTTCACAGAAGACATGATATTCACTCTGGATCTTGTAGGGTGAATAGGGATAATTCAGGCAGAAGCAAAAGCATAACCAGAGGTAGAAGATATGCAAATGTGTGGCATATTTCAGTGAACAGTGAGTAGTCCATTGTGACTGGCTCCTAGGAGAGTAGTCAAGATCATAAAGACTCTTGAATATCATACGTAAGAGTTTGGATTTTGGCCTGTAGCTATTAGGGAACTATCGGAGAATTTTAAAGAATGAAGTAACCTGATGAGATTTACATTTGAAAGGAACACTGGAGGATAAATTGAAGAGTGGTGAGGCTGCGAGACCAGTTAGGAGGCAGTGCAGTCTAGACCAAAAACAGGAGAGCCTGCCCCAGGACAACGGTAATGAGAATGAAAAGAAGACAAACGGACAGACCCTACAGGCATTTCTATGTTAGAATAAACAAACATGGCATAATGAGAGGCTGAAGAAAGAATAAAAACCAAACTTTCTAGCTTGGATGTTAGGTAGTTTGCTGATGAATTTAGAAGGAGAACCAGGCTGTACAAGGAAGACAGTAAGTTTGGTTCGGAAATGTTTAATCTGAAAGTGTCTCTAGGTCCATCAGGTGAAGATGTCCATCAGCAAGGCTTGTTTGCTATCTCCCCAAACCATATCCTGAATCCAACCTCTTCCCTCTACCTCCATTGCTCCCAGCCTAGTCCAAGTCACAACCATCTCTTCCCTGGATCATTAGGATAGCCTCCTAACCAATCTCCTCGCTTCCACTCTGGCCCACCTCATAGTCTAGTCTCCATACAGCAGCTAGAGTAATGCTTTAAATTTTTAAATCTGATCTTCTCACACTCCTCCTCAAGTCCTCCAATGGTTTCCCATCACATGTAAAACAAATCCAAACTTTTTACCATGACCTACAGGGCGCTACAAGATCTGACCTCTGATTATTCTTCTCAGCTCTTTGCCTACCTTTCTCCCTTTTGTTCGTTCGGCTTCAGCCATATTGGCTTTTCTTCCTGTTCTTTATGCAAATCAAGCATATTTCATCTCAGTGAATAATTTCAGTGACTCATTGAGGATCTGATTGCCATAAACACAATGCTTAATTTCCATGGTGGTAGTTCTGGGAGTGCAAGTAATTCTGGAATTATTTGAGCAGGTCCAAGCAAGCCTCAAGAAAGACACAATGCAGCTGGCCAAAGTCCAGAGAAGAGAAGCTAAATAAACAACCCAAAAAGCTGAGGTAGAGGCCAGAAAACGCCATAAAAGGATGCTTGAAAACATGGCATGTGTTTATAGTTTCTACCAGGCTATCTCACTTCTGGTCAAAGATTCTTTTTAATTTTTCTCTAGGGTTTTCATTCCTAAGGATCTAGCTCCCAACTCGATTGTAAGTCATGGGGTCACTGAGACCATGCTTCCTTTATATTCTCCAAAATGCCTAACATAGACCTGTAAGTATTTAGTACATGTTCTAAGGACCACCTGAATTGAATTGAAATTTAATGGAATTAAATTCAAAAATCTAAGGATGAGGGAAACTTGGCATGGTACAAAAAACTAACAGTTTGGAGGGTTTGACCTCAATCTGAATTGAGGGAAGGACTCACATATTCTTCACACACCCCAGCAGAGCGGTTTGTATATAGCAGGTGCTCAATAAGTATTTGTTGAAAGGATGGATGAAAGACTAAATATGTTAATGAACGCTCAAGCAGTAGTGATAGAAAATAATGCTCCAATGACGGAAAGCAGTTTTTTTCATTCTGTCCTTGTCGTATAACAGGGATGCCATGCTTATTTCTAGACACTCCAGTTTAAGAGAGACACTGCTAGCTAGAACTCCATGGGAGAAAGACCCATGGGGTTCTATGAGGCTTCCGGGAATAGTATTAGACATCAGTGGAGTTTAACCTGATGAAGAGATGAAGAGGGGGCATAACAACAACCTTGCAATATCTGAAGGACCACCGTGTAGAAGGAGGAACAGAATTACTTTGCATAGCTCTAGTGGATAGTAGTAAAGGGTAGGAGTCATAGAGAAACAAATTTCAGGTCAGAATAAGGAAGTACTTTCTTAGAATAATTAATGCCCCATACTGGAGTAGGCTAACTAAAATGGTTGTATACTCCCTTCCAATAGCCGTTTTTTGTTTTGTTTTGTTTTTTTTCTTTTTCAGGCAGTAAAGGGTAATCACATAGCAGGATAGTGTAGGAGTGATTTCTGAATTGAGAGAAAGATTGAACTAAGAAAGTGTTTTTCAAAGGGTTGAAACCCATTATTGGAGCCATAAAATCAATGTAGTGGGTCCTGACTGGCATTTTTCTAAGTGAATTCAAATAGAATAGAAGATATCAGAGAGCATCACACACAGCAAAGATGACTGTGGTTTTGAGAAACCTATTTTGGAACCATGCTTACATACGTATGAATGTACTTACTGGGTTGCAGTGTAACGTGCTTTTCTTACTGTGGGTGGCAATCAAAACTATTTGAAAACCACTGCACTGAGGCCTCTTCCAGTTTTAATATCTGGTAGCTCTAAGAATTCTCATCTCTGTTGCAGAGATCCAAGATTGCTGTCTATGAGAAAATGTGGTCTTACATGAAATCAGCAGAGCCATCTGTGTTTACCAAAACAACAGCAGACGGAGTGGCCCGAGTGCGGAAGTCCAAGGGCAAGTTCGCCTTCCTGCTGGAGTCAACCATGAATGAGTACATTGAGCAGAGAAAACCGTGTGATACGATGAAAGTTGGTGGAAATCTGGATTCCAAAGGCTATGGTGTGGCAACCCCTAAAGGCTCAGCATTAAGGTGGGTGGAATAATATAACAATATCCGTGTTGTTATAGTATTCCACCTACCCTGATGCATTTTGTTGTCATTTTCTTTCTTGTGGATTTTGAGGTAACTTTTAAAAGTTTAAAATCTACAATATTCCATGGAGTTAAATAAGACGGTAAATTATGGTTTCATCTATTTAATGCATCCATTTCTTTTTAATGTTCTCTCTCTGTGTTGTCCTCTCTGACTGTTTGTTGCTGTTTAATTTTACAGTTCAACGGCTTTTTCAATTTAAATGGTAAAAGCCAAGTTATGGTGCCATATGTGACGAATGTTAATTGCATGGATGTGGTGTTCTTGTTACTTTCTTTATCAAAGACAATCTCCCCATCCCGCACACTTCAGTTTTGAGCAAATGTTATCCTCCATGCCACCTTCCAATATTTAACCCTGTATTTGCTGTACAGACATTTTTATAGCTCCACGTTCTGTGAAATTTAGCCAATTTGTCCTCTTGTGCTCCTTTTTATACGTTAACGATTTCCTAAGCATTTGTGCATTTTCTTACAAGTTATGTTTTATCGTTTCAAGAAATGCTGTTAACCTGGCAGTATTAAAACTGAATGAGCAAGGCCTCTTGGACAAATTGAAAAACAAATGGTGGTACGACAAAGGAGAGTGCGGCAGCGGGGGCGGTGACTCCAAGGTCAGCCTCAATGTCACCACAACCGGGTACCCTTAGTGACGAGTAATCGGCAAGACTGTTATCTTATTATTGAGGAGAGAGCACAAGACTCACACATAAAGTGGAATGACCAGGTTATTCCCCTGCCTGGCAGCTTTGGGACCTAGAAAGGCTCCAGGGCACCGCCCGCAGTTTTGATCTAACTTGGGTCCCTTCTTAAACTCCCAGACAGAGGCTTCCCATCCACACCCCTTCCCTCCCCTCACACACCAGACCGCTTGCCTTATGAAGGCCGTGGTGTAGGTTTCAACGCCCTAGGCTTTCAAGAGCCCGAGGCTTTCCTTAAGACTGTCCCCACCTGCCTCGGATGAGTGGTGTGCGAAATCAAATCCATCTACTGAAAAGTCAGGTTACAGCCTTTTTTCCCCTAAGGCATGATGGTATGATGGTTGCTTACAGTGGCTGGTTGGCTTCTTCCATCATGTGTATGAGTGATGAGACGTTGCTCTCTATATGTGATGGCCTATTTAAGCTGGCCCCACTCAACTTGAAAGCCAAAGAACAAGCTCAGTTTCAAGTTAAATGGGGTCTTTCTTCAATAAGTCACCACATATATAGACTTTACAAAGATATTTTGTATATTTAAACAAGCGCGTCACCTAACTGATACTCTATGTGTGTGCATCCCTGATGTGGCTTCTCCTTAGCTGTGTTCTTAGTTCAGGTAGGTGTAATGGTTATCCAGGCTACCGTTGTGAGAAAAAACCGTCTTACTTGGCATTCCTTCGGCTCCTCAATGCTATTCGGGGCTAGAAAGAATGAATAGCCTTCAACCAAGCAACAAGAAATAGGGGCGAGCTCAGAAGCCACAACACCAAATGATGGAAAGACACGTTGGGTAAGTACAGGAGAGGACCTGAAAACAGAATCCTCCATGGCCCAAAGGGCATGAGAATTATATTGAAGCATGTACGATCGGCTCTTGTACGACCAAGATACCATGGGCGTCTTAAGGTGAAGAATAGTGTTTCCCAATCAGAGACCAACAGACAGGCAAGCTGAAACTTTTCTCCTTCAGAGACAATGGTTACACCTCTGCTCCTCTCTTTCTCTCTCCACTCCTCAGGACCCTGACGGAAAAGTTAGTTTGCCAGTCTGCAGTATAATATGGGTTTGGAAACACAGAGCACTTTCCAAGAACTAAATTTAAAAATGACTTTCTTCAGGACATAATCTTACCAAGCATTGGCGAGGTCTTTTATTGTAAAACCTTGATTAACCAGAGCTCACCTAACCAGTACCCCAACTAACTGAATTGCCCCCCCCTCAGTACTCCACATTGATGAGAAAGCAGCAGTAGTACCAGAAAAGAAGACTGCAAGGAATTGATTTTTTTTTCAATCACTTGCCAAGAGATGACCCATGGTTGGGTCACACTCAGCTCTGTCTCCTCTATCTTCTCTCCATCTGGATTGACCCTCAAACATTAGAGGCCGCTTGCCTGAGGCAAGAAAGTGGATACAAGCATTTTGAGAAAACAAAAAGTGTGATTAGCCAAGAATGAGACAAAATGAGTATTCTTATTGAAAATTCCATCCATCCCTTATGGATTCCAATTAATCAAGGTTTTACTATGTGTCAAAAAGCAGTAACTTCCTCTCCCACCAGTGTGAACTGATGCCATTCACTTGGCTCATTTGAGTTTTGTAGTGGCTCACCTGATGCCTAGAGTATTTAGAACCTTCTTCCTGGTCTTTTTTCTCATATTATTATCAGGCCACGGAGAACCTAATTATATCATTCAAGTGAGTTGCAGAGTGAAAAATTGAGCTGGATTGGATACATGGCTGTCACGAATTCATCATTCATACCCAGCATGGTTAAAAAGGAGCCATGGACTGTATCAAGATGACTCTAAAACATCCACAGGATGCCAACTGCCCAGAAGTTGTCAAATAACCAGATGTTTGATGTTACATAAACAAACAAAAAAACCTGCACACATCTGGCTGAATTTTTACTTTTCACCCAGATATTTCCTCAGCTAATACCGCTGCAAAATTATCAAGTAACTTTGTTGCCAGCCCCACGATTTCCAGATTATCTGATTTTTGATATGCAAATAGAAAAATATTTCAGTAGATCCTAGATATTTCCAGCTTCTTTGACCATAGTGCTACTTGCCAGGCACCTTTCAAATCACTTTTTTTTGGGTCATTCCTCCAGACAACCTTTAGAAATAAGTCGACCCCTTTCTCAACTATGGATAATAGTATGATCAGTGTTGCCTATCCAACAATTGCTTATTCCGTTTCTGGATTACCAAGGAGCTTGCCTTTATCTCCTTCCTTCTTGCTACCTGCAGTTTTCTGAGAGTGAGCAAGAGAAGGGGCAAGAGATGAACTTGAGTCTGTTCCCACTATTTAGTGGTGATGCCAAAAACAAATCAATGGAGAAGAAGGTAGAAAAGGCAGTGGAACCTCATTACTTTGGAGCCCTCTAATTTATAATTTGAGATAAACTGGACAGGGACCAGTCTACAGTCTGAGAGAGGTCGAGAGGTTTGTTAAGCAAATGAAGAGTTTAGACTAGACTGCCAGTTGAAGTTTTCCTTAAGAGAACAAACCTTTTTCAAATGTCGGAAGCATTGTTTTAGATATAATCATATTCATTACAAATTTATCTGCTAAAGCAGTTCTCACGAGGACCTCCACTAAGGCAATGTTTTAGAGTGAGTTTGAATTACAAAACAGACTTCAAGCAATGAAACTGTCATTCTTCGAACCTATTTTGTAATTCAGGACTTTCTTCTTCAGATAATCCTTCCCCTCTGTTAGTCCAAATCAGTGAGTTTTAACTGTATTAGTAAAATGGCTTGAGAATTACATTTCTTTATTGTATTCCATCCCCAGTTAACATGACAATTGACAAATAGACCATCATTTCATAGAGAAAGTGAGACCCAGAGATGGTGGTGACTTTGAGAAGGTCACACAGCTAATGCTGTCACAAATCTCTGCTGACTTTCAGGGTCACCTCTGGTGATAATATTGTAGACAGCAATTTATCACATCTACCCATCCAATGAGCAATGTGAATCTGATTGCATGTGATATATTTCCATAAAAATCAGCTTTATTCTCAACTACCTTGGTTACAAGGCAAATAGCATATATAAGCCATTCCAGCCCTCAGTACTGATGACTAAAAATGACAATAATCACAAAGCCTGACATTTATGAGTACTTTTACTTTTTCAAAAACGCTTCTACACCTATTATCTCTGAGACCAGGAGACGGAGAAAAGCATGTATTACTTATCTCTCTCTCTCTCTCTCTCTCTCTCTCTCTCTCTCTCTCTCTCTC